CCCCCTCTTCCGGCGTTCCCCTCCGTCTTATGTTCTCCTTCGCTCGAACACAGATGGTTTTTGCAGCGATGAAGATGATTTTTTCAGAGGTCAAGATCTCTGTTTTTGCAGCGATAAAGATGAAGATCCACAGGTCAAAATTCATGGTTTTTCACTGATGAGTCTCTAGCTTTTTCCCATTAATCGGCTTTTTCTTTAGGGATCTTCTTTTTCAAGAATTTCTATTTCGCATCGATGGAGAATGCTGTCGGTTTCTCATTCCTATCGCCTGCCCTCCCCATCGCTGGTTCCCACACTTCAAAGACCAAACCCCCTCCCCACCGTTGTTTATGTCCGTGGTATTCAAGTTGCCGGAGTTGGTAGACGGTTTGGTATCTGGTGAGTGAGGGTCGGATTTGGGCAGTCTTGATGAGTGAGTTCGACCTTCTTCCCCTATTCCAGATCCAGTCTTCATCTTCACAATCAACGAGAAGCTAGGGTTTCAACGAGATCCAGATCCAATTGTTGTCTTCAATCAACGAGAAGCTAGGGCTTCATCGAGATCCAAAATCCAGTCTGTCCTTAATCAACAAGAAGGTAGGCTTTCAATCTTTTTATCCAGTTTAAATTCGATTTACACTTGGGTTTCACTGATTTAGGATTTTGATATTTGGTTTCACAATGTTAATATTCTTGATATTTTTGCATACTGTGTTCTTGGTGTTCATGTAATGTTAATAATTTAATGTTCTTGATATTTTTGTACAATGTGTTTGTATTCATGATAATTCTCTCTGGGAGGAAAGATGAAATCTGGGTTGATGTTCATGATAATTTTTTGGATGGAATTAGATTTAGGGACCCAACGAATCATAAAATGCAAACAACAGGGATGCAATTCGTAGATATTTCAAAATAGGGACCTAGACCGTTAAAACACATAAACTATGGTGACGAAGAATGTAATTTACTCTATATTCTTCTATAACATAATTTCACTTTACAAGAAAATAAAGAATATAACGGTTGGCAACTGCTGTGTCTCTCATTTTAACATACAAAACTACACATTTCACATACTAATGAGAAACAAACAAGCCTGTAAACCATCTCAACTTCTATATGCTATCATCTACTTCATTCATCCCAACATCAAACCTGCATACAAATTTATCATAAATACTATAATTAAAACCAAAACAAACCCGTTATTTCCTACTCGAAGGTAGAGTATCAGGTAAATGCAATAGTTAAAAAAACATCATCATACGCACAAGTTTTGTATATACAATTCAAGGAGTAGTTGGTAATCATGAGGCATAACTCTTACATGAGATTTATTTGTTTAGTTTGGTTTTTATCATCGTTGTTGCTCATAGAAACCACTAAACAAGTTGGAATGATGGAAAATAGCATATACAGGTGTATGACGTGCTCAGTTTCTACTGTTTACATAGCTGCATAACTAATATCAAAATAATAGGCTTAAAAGGTTGCATAAAAGTTCAGATGCTTTATCAATATGGATCAATGGAATTCCCCCAAATAATAATAAAGAAATAAACAAAAGATCTGCAGTAGGAAATACATGTTTTTGAAGAAAAAATGGACATAAATTGGCCTCACACACACACCACAAATCTTTGAATGCTTTAAGTACTCTATATACTACAGGTATTGTCACAACCAAAATCAAACACACACTAAAGATAATTACGTTGCTTTTCCAAAAAGGGGTTTAATGACATTCGTGAGTGTTTAATGGCAAAAATCACGACCCACAAAAGAGACAGTAAAAACCCGAAAATGATTATAACAGCAAGAGAAGATAGGACAAACCTATGTATAGAAATGTCTCAGGGCACTCGGCTTCTTCTGAAAGAATATAAAGCAGAATAAATGTAAAGCTCCACATTGCATAAACATCTACAAATTATACATAAAAGATGCATCCAACTGCATGTTGCTTGCAACAAAAATTCAGAATCATCATGAATATCAAATGAAGTATCACAAACAATTAAATCATACACAATTAGTTCGTCTCTATACTGATCAAATTGGGTAACATAGGATTAATATCAACATGTAGCGTGGAGCAGATGTAAAAGAGATGAAATTTTTTGGATTTTACCTCGAATTAGAATTCAGCTTTAGATTTCTTTCCAACGATGATCTGGAATATCCGCAAACCCCTACTAAACGCTTCATTGAACAAGATTCTGGTTTGCATTGACTGGAACCCCGGCATCCATGACAAAACCGCCACTGGGGTCAAGACAATCACACCAAACATTATATCATACGTGCGGGCCACAGAAACAACAGTCCCCCAGATGAAAGTTTTCTCCAAAATGGGTCGGAATACTTGGGCAATCAAAAGAAAACCCCAACCAGTGGGAACGAATGCCAACAGACTTGTGAAAATATCAAGAAACTTGAACTGTGTGAACTCCATCAAAGCAATTATTATAAGTACGCCAAGAATGATAACTAGGAACTGAACCAACCGATAGTAGATGTGTTCTCTAGCAGAATATCTATCACGCGCATATATGATAACCGAATAGAGTCCAAGAGCCACCACCACATAGATCCAAGAAAGTACATAAACAGCAACGCTTTTGCTACCAGCAGCAATACCCAACTGGTAGACAATTCCATATTGGAAAAAGAAAAACCGTAAATCCAAAATAATTTCCAACAACTTTCCCCATAAACCAGTATTTCTCAGATGATCCTGTTCCTCATACCACCATCTTTCCCAACTCTGTTCAGACTTTGCAAACACGCCGCCTTGAAACCATATCCACTTCATAAAATCATCAAAATCATACACTGTTTTTAACCAATCAAATCCAGAAGGATTGAACACGAAAGGTGCCATGATCCATGAAACCACGAGGAACCAACTTGAGATGGTCAATGCAATGTACGTAAATGTTCCTTTAGCAACTGGGCTATACGCAGCATAAATAGTGAGGATCAGACCCAACTCAATTGCTTTTGTAAAATGACTACGAGCATAGAGTCTGTAGTTCTCAGCAAAATTCTTGTGTTGCACCACAAAACCACGCCCAGTTGCCCGATATTTTGCTCCCCCATGAAGGATGGTTCGCCCAAAGTAATGAGAACGAGTTCCCAGAGAAAAGGTATAGAAAACCGATGAAAGTTGTAGCTGCATTGTTATGAAATCCCAAATGGCTATGAGAAATCCTTGCTCAAGAGTGTTTTCGACAATCATGGGTAAGGCGGTGAAAAGGCCAAGTTGGACAATAAACTGCTGGTTTAAAATCGTCCCCAATGCATTGTTTGTGTTGGCATTGTCTTCTACAGAATTCTCAACTCCACTTAGTGCTAGATACAACCGGCCCCACAAAAACGCGTAAACGGTCAATGAAATCATCATCGTGTTGAAAAAGAATCCAACGGTAGTGTAGAAAAACGAAAGCATTCTGAAAAAATCAAGTCTATGACCCAATCTGTACACATCTCTACTAAGAACTTGCTCACCGTTCCCACTTGCAACTTTTGCTTCAAACATAGATACTTGGTTTAACCCAACATCCCTTCCTTTCCCGACTTGTATGTACTCATGATGAGTGACATTTCCGCCTCTTAACGTGCAATTAAACCCAGCAAAAATGTCCTCACTTAAGTTGATCAATCTTGAAGCTTTACTAATTCCACCACGAGTTAAGAACCAAAACCTATCAAACACATCCGGATGGCCATAATGCAACCGAATCTTCAAAGGGTTTGCTAAAACACGCTGACCCAAGGTCACAAAGCTTGTTTCTTGAGCTGACATGAACCAAGCAAGTGAGGAGACAGAACCAGTAAAGATGTTTTCTCTAACTCCCAAAATATTTGGCTTACGAATACCATAATAGCTCTTGTATTCCTCAAGTAAATTCCTCATTTTGAGGGCCTCCTCAAAATAATTGTCTTGATTCATATCAATGGTCTGAACTGCATCTCCCCGAGTAAAAATGAGGGCATGGTTTTGATTCTCAGGTTTTCCTTCCCCGAGCTTCAAAGGGCCAGGCAACTTCACTCGATAAACTTCAACTTCTTCTCCCTTCTGCTGATCATACTTCACAAGAACGGAGTAATACTCTGTTCCGTTCCTTATGGGCAACTCATCAACATAGGCCACACGAAGAGCTTCATTGTTTTTCATCAAATACAAAATCTCATCAGCATGAGGGTCCTTTTTGGCCTTTTGAGTCCCGTATATCTGACAAGCAACTACGTAAGTGTATTTCATTAAAGCCGTTCCATATTCGTGGCCTTTGAACAAAGAACTCATTGTACTATCTGCTCTACTTAAATTTCTCCCTAAAGATGTCATTTCTAAGCTCGAACCACCACCCAAATTGCCACCATGAGCTTGTGATCCTTCACGAATGTCCATCTCAGAAGCAGAATCAAGAAAAGCCAACATCTTGAGTGCCCGATAATAGTACATCATTCCCCTAACTGTACGGGCAAGTGTCTGCCCTCTGTATGACGCCCAAAGCCGAAGATCTCTTAGCTTAGTTGTCCACAACTCATCCTCTGACACCATCCCTTCTCTCCGCATTCGCTGCAAAAAGTTCACCCATTCATCGGCGTAGATAGTTTGCAAATAATAAAGAGTGGAAACCCCATCTTCATTCTCGGTTCGAAGTTGTTCTTTATTGTACACCACGTCTTCATTGTAATACGGTGTCAAGACACTAAAAGCCATCATCTTTTCAACTTGGGGAGCATGAGGCATGTTCATAAACAAGGAGTTGCTGAAGAATGCAATCCTTCTCCTTGCCTCAAGATTCACAGGAATGTTGTTCATCGAGTCACGTGACGTAAGAATGATGTGCAGTCGTCGCACCTGTCGATAGAAATTCCCGTTGTCTGAATCAGGCAACTCGACGGCATTCTCAAAAAGAAGCCCTACACCCGGAAGTGGCCTGTGAGGAGCCAAACCATCCTCTTTCAACTGGTTCTCGGTTCTTTTATCTTTAAAGAAATCCCTTATACATACCTCATAAAGTGCCTGAAGTGCAATAATCACTTTGTTAACATCTTTGTTCGATTTTATTAACAAATCAACAAGAGTGATGAGCTTTGCATGAATCTTGGGAAGAGCGGACATGTTAAATGTCTTGGTGAATTTTTCAATATTGATTGAGTTATCGATTTCTTGAAAGAAAGTCGTCATAATTGAGTGTTCTTGTGTGTTGTACTTCACAATTGTGAGCAACAAGTGTCTGAAACTATCGTAAGCTTCGATAACCGCACAACGCCTGTACTCATTCTTTCCAATCTTGTACCATAGCCACCTGTCTGGAGCATCAACTAACTCCTTTGCCTGGCTGAGAGCTAGAAGTAACTCGTTACACAAGAGAAAAGATGGCCAACGGACAACTCTAACATTCCATGTATTCTGAGGCAATTCAAGAAGCTCGACTTCATGATCACTAACAATGTCTTCTTCTCTAAACGTCAAAATGATCTCATTCCAAATCAAAGCAAACTTATGGGCCTCAACTTCATTTGATTCAAGTTTCTTGAATGGTCTGCCAAGACCATATCTCAACTTCAACCTGTGAATGGCATCTTTGAACTTACTCCTGAAAGTCCCTCTTGTATTCAGCAACTGCTCTTCAGGCATGAGATTAAACTGCATTGCACTAGCGAAAAACTGAAATCGCAACCTCAGTTGTTGCACGTTTCTAATCTCACCCAAATGGTTCAACAACCCTACTCCAGCACCCACAAAAGAAGAGTAAATGGAGTACCAGATCTGTAAATCCATTAAATAGATCAATACAACAGGTAGCCACAAAAGCCCAACAGCAAACCTATTGCTGTTACTAAAAAATTCATGCCATTCATATCTCACATCCGAGAGGTCTAAGATATCTTTAGTGGGCCGAATCATCGGTTTTATCTGCAAGAAGTAGCTAAAACAAAATTTTGTTGCGAGAACCACGATCCAAAATAAAGAATACTTGATGTTATCTATCAGACCTTCCCTTAGTCCTCGACCCACGAAAGATCTACTTTGAAACCACCAAGTTATCAGGTAAAAGACCCTCCAGTTTGTGTTTTCAATAAAGTTACGAACCCATGGTAGAACAAAAAGAGCAAGTGCTAAAAGCTCGGGGAGGATGAACACCAACGCAGCCACTATCATCCGCTTACTTGTTGCCCCTGACCAACCCCGATCAGTCTGGCTCCAAATTGTAGCATAAAACGCCACAAAAATGATGATCCAAACAACAGAAACAATGATCTTTAACACCATCCTCACACCAAGCCACAAAGTCTCTCTAGAAACCAATTTATACTGCATCACAGCATCAAGAAGAGCCTGAAGAAACCTCAAAGCACTCCAAGTGATGAACACACTCAAAACCTTTGCCTGTATATCGTTATCCTTTAAAGACTGCCATGGATAATCTTCTCCCTCTTTCCAAGCAATAATGATGGCAGCCTGTAAAAACAGGAACAACATAATCCACAACTTATCGAAGCTCCTAAACAAGTTCAAAAACGACCTCTGCTCCACGAAACCTGTCTTCCCTACCCTCTTCCCTTTGGTCGTTGTTGCAAAAAAGTTACTCCCGATGTCTATAGGCCACTTCAACTTATCAAAACACCTCCTACTCCAAAAGTATTCGTTAATATCATCATAATTCCGCCAACTTGAATGTGGTGCCGTGCCATTCTTACTGCTTTCTACCTCGGTCTTAACAGTATCGTAAATTGGTTTAACAACCTTATTCAAAAACGCGTTTTCACCGGATATGGAGGGCAAAACAGGTCTACCTGTGTTCTCATCAATATAATCTTCTAGAATTCTATTTAGCTCCATAGCCATATGATGAAATATATAACAAATACACTCAGGTATGAAACGTAGATTCGCAGACTCACCCCAAATCAGTAGATAAAGTGCTACATAAAGGAGCTCCCGACGGTGGTCCGAGGCGGAAAACTGGCGGCGTGATTCAGAGATCCAGATGTTGGATTTACAGCCAAGGAAGGAGCACCAGTGAGTGTAGTTGCTGAGAAGCTTACGGCGAAATCGGCGTATGACGGAGGGGTCGAGAGTGTCGATGTTGTCGGGTGGTGGTTGCAGGCGCATCTGAGCGTTGGCCAGGTGGAGAACAAGGTGTTCCCTCTGGTTGGAAACGTTGTGGTTTTGGAAACCGAAGAAGGCACCAAGCCAATCGAGGAGGTCGTAGTGTGGCTGCCATGGGATGAAAGGAGGTCTACGGAGGTCACCAACAGATCGTAGAGCAGCGGTAGCAGCACGAACTTCTGGATAACGGAGGGATGGGTGGTCAGCGAGTAAATTGTGAATTGGGATTATGTTATAAACGGATTCATCAGACAATTGAGGTTCTGGGGGAGGACGGTGTCGGAAGTTCATGTGGATCTAGCTAATGGGGTTTATTAGTTCAAAATTTGACCGGCCGATATTAGAATCGAAAAGAGAGATATTAAGAAAGAGACGATTACTATCTTCTTTTTGTTTTTGCAATTGTCGACTAATAATATAAAATTCATTTATTTGACCTTTTCAATAATAACAACATATATATATTTATAGAAATGGGGAAGGTGGGGCCATATAAACGCGTTATGAGACAATTTTCTTTAAATCTATTACTATCTTCTTTTTCTTCATGGAATTTTCAACTATCATTATGTAATAATATATATATATATATATAATTATAATGTAACGTGATATATCGTGATTTTAATACTTTATTTTATTTTTTATCTCAGTCGATCTTATAATATAACTTTATGTAATTTTGAGAAAGCGATAATGTTTTTATTTTTGAATAAAATATATGTTTGAAGATATCATAAAAATTTGACAAAAATATATCGATATTAGTATCAAATTAACTATTTG